TTTGTTCCTTTTCCCTGCCATGATATGGTCAGGGTCAAGTATTTTTACTTTCTCTTTTCTCATGAAAATGAGAGAAGAGGCACTGCTTTCTTCAATCCCTGTTTATAAGATGGCTTATCTTCTAATTTTTCTCTCATCTTCTGTAGTACTGTGATTAATCTTCTGGTATTTTCTTTCCTTTCTTCCCTCTTTGTTCCAGCTATGATAGACAGTCCAACTTTTCCAATAGCTTCAGACTCCTTGTGGAGGCATTTTTCTTGACTTCCTCTGACAGTCTCATAGGACTGGAACAGTGACTGAGTTTCCTGTGGGATACCTGAAAGGAGGTTGTAGCAAGGTGGGGGTTGGTCTCTTCTCCCCGGTAACTAGCGACAGGTCAAGAGGAAACACTCTCAAGTTGAGCCAGGGGAGGTTCAGGCTTGACATTAGAAAGAACTTCTTTGCTCTAAGAGTCGTTAGGCATTGGAACAGGCTCCCCAGGGAGGTGGTGGAGTCACCATCCCTGGAGGTGTTCAAAAAACATTTAGATGTGGCGCTTCAAGACATGGTTTAGTGGGCATGGTGGCATCAGGTATACGGTTGGACTTGATGATCTTTGAGGTCTCTTCCAACCATAATGATTCTATGTTCTATTTATATGCTATATTTGATGTAAACAAATGTGGCATTTAGAGTCCTAGCAGTTGTCTTCCACTCTGGGGTTGGTGTTTGAGGGGCCACTTTCCTGGTTCTACTGCTTCCAAATAGTTTTAAAAGTAATGCTTGTACACTGCATGTGTTCATGGATACAGGTACCTGATGTATAGTAATGATATTCACGAGACCACACTGCATTCGCTAGAAAGCTGACAATGCTTGTCTATTATCAAGTTTGGAGTTTTTTCTTTAATCACTGATATTCCCTGAGTCAACATGCATTGTCTCTTAGATTAAATTAAACAGTGAACAAGATATTTTTGCATTTTTTTTATACATCTATTCATATGTCTGTATGCAATGACATTTTTCTGATGCATAGAAATCACTGATGTTCAGGAGTTTGAGAATCCATCATTTGTATTGATGTTATGTTGGTGAAGCCATGCATGTTGTTTTTCAGAGACAGATGATTGTAAAAATATTTGTGTATCTACACACACATTCACTGGGAGAATATCAATGATTAGTTAAAGAAAAAACCCAAACTCTGTAACAGACTATATAAATGTATAGCAGGACTATGTGATACATTATGCCAGACAGGACACAAGACATATATATGTAACAGTCCTAAAATGCAGAGGAAGTCGGAAAAAATTACTCCACAAGGTCACAGAAGCTGCTTGAAAAGGGTAAGAGTCTCAGGTAAACAAAGATGTCTATTAGTTTCTATTCTTTTTGCCCTGGAATTAAACATAAAACCTGGTGTATATGTATGTAATAAGCATATCCTATTTCCTTTTGTAACAGTATGATACCATCCATCTAGGTAATCATGTTACTGATATTGCCAATCATGTTATCAAGTGCCAGTTTTCTTAAGGAGAAAATAGTCCAAATGCCATGCAGAGTTTTCAAGGCCAGAGGAAAGCATATTCTCCATGCATTCCGATTTCACTCATTTTCTAATTTGCTATGAGAAACAAAACAAAAAAACCTTGCATTTTCACTATAATATCACAATACAAGCTAAGTTTTTGCAAATTGGTGGCAACATGCCTAGCTATAGAAAATGACCTTTGATTAATAAAAATGAATGGCAGACTTCTACTTCCTCCTGCAAAGCCACCTCTTCTAGAAGTTAGTTTCCTGGGTGGTTAGCCATTAGTCTAAAATGAATGTAGTTATGCTGAATTTGCTTAATATCAGAGCATTTATCAGAAACACAAATAATGACTATATTGTATGTCAGATTCAGCCTGTGTTCAAGAGCACCAGAACCGTGAACTTCCATAGAAACATAATGCAAAAAGGTCTTGTTTTCTGTGGTCTTAAACGTAAGGGAGCTGATGCATGTTGACTCGGAGAATATCAATGATTAGTTAAAGAGAAAAAAAGCCAACTTGATAACAGGCTATAGAAATACATAGCAGGATTGTATGTCTGTGTCTGTAATATGGTATGTCAGACAAGACACAAGACTTTGCTAGCAAAGGGTATATAAAATTACTTTACATTCAAACTTTTTTTTATATACTAGCCACTAGTTTCTGTGTCTGTTAAGACTTCTGAGGTGCTAGTTGAGAAATTATTCAGTTGGCACTTCTCTAACTCTGATACTAAAATACTTTTTAGCAGCTAAATTATGTCACTGTGCTAGTGTAGTGGGTTGACCCTGGCCTGCTGCCAGATAATGTTTTGCACTTTCTTACCAATGTTTTCCCAGAATGCCACCAGCTTGGCTGCAGGGCTCAGCTGTGTCTTGTGGTGGGTCTCTCAGAGCTGTCTGGACCCAGCTGTGCTGAGCATGAGGCGGCCTCTGGCCTCTTCTCACAGAGGCTCCTCCTGCAGCCAAAACCTTGCTACAGACACTCAATACACTTGTTGCTGTGAGATGAAGCTTCTGTTTCTTCTGGGCTAACTTCTCAATTGTTTGCACTGAAGGAATAGATTTTCGCGTGTGGATCACTATCAAATGCTTTAGTGAGAATGTTTTTGCTCCTATGAAGCTTGCTAAAGAAGAGGTTTCTAGGTGAAGTGTTTAACATACTGTTAATCCCCAAACACTGAAAAGAAAAAATGTAGTAGGACATCAAAGTTTCGAATCTTTATGCAGTGTACAGTTAATGAAACAAAAGTTTTAATAAGAGGAATAGTTTAACTTTAAAATATACCTTTTTTCCTTCTACTTTCCCTAGAGCTGTGACTGAGAGTATAAACCAGCTCATCACGCTGTGCACCCAGCAAGCTCCCGGGCAGAAGGAATGTGATAATGCACTCAGAGAACTGGAGGTATTACTACATTTCAAAAGTTCTTATGAATAAAAATGGGCCCCAAATGTTTGTTTCTTTTGTTTTCTTTGTTCGATTAGCTGCTGTCACTGTCTTCTCACTTGATATCTGTGGCAGAGGTTTTAATTGCATACGAGGTAAGCATAGGACCTCTGTCAACATCTTGTAGTTTTGGTCAGAATGAGATTTGCTGCCTTGTCTCCATCTCCTCTTCCCTGCCTCCCAAAAAGTACAGTTTAGTCCCTATTATTCATACTTACTGTCAATTAAGGAACAATCATGACGAGACGGACATTCCCACTACCAGCAGTGCACTGGAGAGAACTGCAGTATCTTGATTTTTCTGGTTATAGAACGTTCTTACTGACATCCCACGTCAGGATGATGCTTACCATTTTACCTTGCCATTTCTAGTGTAGATTTTTGATGCCTCGTATCTGCTTTGTCACAGCCAAGCTAATATGACGTGTGTGCCAATACAGGTTTTTGCAAAGTATGTTCTCGTTTATAAGTGAAATGTTTGGCTGGCTAAATAGTGGGTAGCAGGTCAGTTGAGAGACGTAATTCTAAGGTTATGCACTGATCACAGACACAGCTGCTTACAATAGTAGGAAATACCATCTTTTTAATTAAGCTAATTTTTTGCTGTCAAGGTCAAAACATGAATGATTGGCCTGTGTAAAGAGCATAAAACCACCTTCAAGCTTTTCATTTCTACCCCTTGGTATCAAAAGGATACAAAGGTCATTGCATTCCAGCTTTTTTAATATGCAAGTCAACTGTCATCATCCCAAAATATTTGTAGAAGTTTGCGTAGGAGCTGCTTTGTACTCCTGAATTCTTAGCTGCTTGAGCTTACAAGTGTTTTCCTCTTGGTTAAAGGGAGGGGCAGAAGGTCCAAATAATAGGAGAAAACTGGAAACTGGGACATAATGTAATGGCTGCCTGAAATGACTACAGAATATTGGGGTGGGAGAAGCAGGGGGAATGAAGCACCATTTCTCAGGACTTTCTGAAAGACGAATGGGGAGAGGTCTGCAAAACAGTAGGGATGTGAAAGATGAGAATTCCCGGCTAATGAGCCACAGAAAACTGAGAGCTTAGAGGAGAAATGTAGGGCAGAACGGCCTTAAGAAACCATTGCAGAGAGTTGTGTGCCTATAGCATGGGTTGCGAGCAGAGCTCAGGAAGGGCAGAAGAAAGATCCATAGCATCTTGAACTTCAGGAAACACTTGCCTGAGAGAGACAGTGAGAAAAGCCTGGGTGTATGGAATTGGATTAATTTCTGAGAAAAGGGAAACTGAGGCAAAACCGCACAGTCCTGAAACCAGACTGGAGAGTGGATCAAAGTGACTTGAGGAATCTATCAAATTTGGGGGAAAGCATTCTTAGTAGTCTTAACTTTCAATTTCTCTGTACAATGTTTAAGCTCTTACCTCTTCCCTTCATTTCCCTGATTCATCACCTACTGTTTCTAGTCTTCCCAAGGCTTCTTAAAAGTACTAAAAAAGTATTGTTAAGAGTGTGTCTTAGCTTGGATTTGATAGATTGTCAGTATGCTCTGTAGTCTTACCTGGAAACTCTGGAAAACTGTTTAGAGAGGACCTTACTGTACGACCTCCAATGAGGTCACTAAACTTGTCCAGAACTTCAGCTGAAAGGATTAATGGAGGTGTTATAGCAAATATACATCAGTGGGAAGTTTGTGCTGGCTTGTATTTTGCTGTTCTGTTTCCCTACGTTCTGAAGGCTTCTGTCTCCATAGGAGTGGAAGTGCTGCAGGAACATTTGCTTTACAAGTTGTTATTTAAAGATGGGGCACAACAACGAAGAGTCTGTGAGAACTGAGAAAGAGACAAGAGGCAACTGGAAACTGTTTTCTAGATAGGACTACTTCTTCATGTCACCTTGTTCTCACAGGTCAATTGCTGTAAGGCTTTAAGTTAGACTATAGCTTTTAAAAAGCAGTAGCTGAGCTGTTAAAAATATGTTAGGTGTATCTTAATGTTAGGAGTTTAGTTACAAGAAAGGCCTAAGGATTTAAAATGATACCTAGATTTCCTTCAGGTGGAAGGCAATCATCAGATACAGATGCTAGTGTCTGTCTTTACTTACTGATTTCACTTTCATTGGAAAGATTAAAAGTCTTCTACCTGATATTTGGCAGAAAATAGTGTTCCTCCAATCTTGGAAAAAGTCGTGTTGTAGATTTTTTTAGATATAAAAGAAGTAGTCTGCTGCATTTTACAGGTTTTTTTACAAGTTCTGTTATCTGAATGCATTGAATCTTCTCAATGAATATGTGACTGACTTTCACGTTGTTATTTCCAGGAATCAGAATTACCTCAGAAAAAGAAATTCAACTAGTATACGTAGTTTGCTGGCAGGAGGAGCTGTGTTGGTAGAATCTGACAGTAGTAAGAGGCAGGCAGGTGGTTGACTTGCACTTATTTTGGTAGCTTTCTGTGTCTCTATACAGTGCTCAACAAATGGTAGCTGGTTTTCCTATCACTCTTGTAATTCCATTTATGAAACTTAAAGCAGTCCTGAAAACATGTATTAGACTGTTGACAAATGACAGAAAACCAGATTACCTCGTGTCAGCCAAGCATCACTAACTGACCATAAATCACTCATCACTAACACAAGGTAAACCACATTAGCCTATACTTCCAACAGGTTCATAGTGCACAAATGTGTAGTTACCATGGTTCAGTTAACGTAGGGTAGCGTTTAACGTGTAGCAAGCTCATCTGTATATGAGCCCTCAGTGAGTGGGTAGTTTTGTTTGCTTGCTGGAGACAAAGTTGTGAGATTACACTGGTATAAGCAGGATAGTTGTGATGGTCGATGTTCTTCTCAGCTCAGTAATTCAGACTGTGTTAATAATCAGAGTTTCTTTCCTTATTTCAGACAGTTAAGGGAATGCTGGATAACCCCAATGAACCTGTGAGCGATCTCTCATATTTTGATTGTATTGAGGGCGTAATGGAAAACTCAAAGGTAATTTCCTTTTCCCACCTCTGTGCCAATTGTAAAGTGCATTTTGATTATCAGAAGTTTCAACATGCATGTCAAACATGTTAGAAACACAACACAGTGTTTATAGCTAAAATGTATGCTGCATTCCTTGATAAAACTCAGCCTGAGATAGGTCTCTTACAGATAATTTCAGGTTTTGGTCACTTAGAAGGCATATTGTCTCGAGAAGAAATTTTTAATTAAGTGACTGGTATGCAATGATGTTTAAGTTTCCCCTTTTCTCCCTTCCTCTCCTGTGCATTAGACAGCATGTCATACTTTCGTTATATATTTTGACTGGAGCTATGTTTGAACAGCTCAAAGCATAAATGGGATACTGTTGAAATGAAATACTGTTGTATTGTTCTGTGCAAAACAGCTTAGAGAAATTTCCGAGCAGTCCAGATATTCCAGCACATCAGAAAATCTGTGTGAAATCTCTTCAGCTATTTTTAAACATGCAGTGCTATACTTTTTCCTTTGAAGCTTTGCTTTTGTGTGTTGCTGGTGGAAGCTTATTCTTTGATGTGTTGGAATTGTCTCAGATCCTTCCTTCTCTAAAAGAAAAAGAAAGTGCTTAATGGATGTGCATGTCATCTTGCATCTAATGCTTTACTGCAGTCAGACCTTGTTTTAAATTTTAAAATAAACTGAATTCAGTGGGAGACACTGTGGTAATTAATGTGTATTCTGACATTCAGATGGCTCCAGCAGACTAGATGCAATTTCATTTCCACTGAGTTTCAGTGAATTTAGAGGCAAAGATGATCCCAGATGTGTCAAGAGCAGCTGCAGGATTGGCTGTCATGTTCTGCAGTCTGTGAAATGTGCCTGATACCAGGCTAGCTGTGATGACTAGTGGATGATAGCAAAAATAATCAGTGTTAATTCTGTATCCTCATAGTCATTTGCACTATAATAGTGTTTGTTTGGCACTGTCAATCCAGTGTCGATCTGCATCCCTTATCCTTTACGCCACACAGAGGAACGTGCCCAATTCAGTGAAGTCATTAACTAGCTAAAATTTCTGGAACCCAGGTCAAAGAGGTTGGTGGGCCAGAACTGGCTCAAGGCTAGCAATCGCTTGCCTTTGAGTGGTAGGGAAGCATATTGGGAAGGTAACTTTGTTTTTTAATTTCTGAGGTTCTTGGAGAATCAATGGCAGGCATTTCCCAGAATGCTAAAACTGGGGATCTTCTAGTCTTTGGAGAATGTGTTGGAGTTGCATCCAAGGCTCTTTGTGGCCTCACAGAGGCAGCAGCTCAGGTAAGCTACTGAAATCTGTAAAGCAAGTATGTCTTTATTTTTTTAACAAGCTCATGTTGTAGGTGTGTATATCTGAGATTCACTTCCTTATGGCCAAACAAATGATGACCTTGTACTAAGCGGCATACTCTGTGTAGATCCACAGAAATGGTGCATACACTGCTGTACATTGCAGAAGCAGCAGAGTGCAATAACATGCATATTTTATAAGGAAGGGAAATGACATCAAGAAGGAACCTTTTCTGAGGATAAAGCAAATGTCAAAGCTGCAGGATATGGAATTAACGTTTGCAGCTCAAGCTCTGAACTGTCACATCAGAGAAGCGCGCAAAAATCAGCCACAGTTAAAATGAATGAATCAAGTTTTTAAAAATTCATAAGGAGCACTACTAGTTTCAGACATTTTAAATAATAAGCAACCTGTTTCAGTTGTTCAGATACTTTTGGAATAACCAAAATTCTTAAGCTACTACAACAAATTAGAGTCTGGAACTGTTCACTGTGGTTTCAGTGATCTGACAACTGGGTGACTTGAACTCTTGAGAGCTGATACAGCCTCTTCAGTGAAGGATTTGGCTGGAGGGGATCATGCTGTGCATCTGGAAGCCACTTCTTGATTTCCCCAAATATGGAATGTTTCAGTACAGACTTAATCTTTTCCACATCTAACCCTGCATTGCCTTACTGGCATATCAAGGTGACAGATAATTTTATCTGTAATGGAAATTCATCAAGAAATCTTCAAATACAGTTTTGACAATTCTTCTTTGTTGAGAGACATGAAACTTTAATTGAGAAAGAGAGTAAGTTTGGCCATTGGACGTCTTGAGCTGCAGTGAGACCACCGACTGCAGACTTGATGGGTCCTACACTCAGCAGTAGTGCATTTGCTGTGAATTGCTTTTCTACTCAGTCTTGAAAACCCTCACCACCTCAAACTGTGGCTAATCCAGTAAATAATTTGCTGATGTTTGTGACCATTGAAGCTCTTTCCAATGGCTATGCAAGTGAAAAATAATGTTTCCAGGGATTCTAGTTGCTTAAACAATGGATAGTTTTGTTTTGACTAAATAAGTTCCACAAGCGTAAGGGTAAGTTTTCTTGGTTTCGGAGGTTTCTGGAGCTTTATTACTAAAAAATTTGTATGATTCACAGTATGATTTCTGGATAATCTCTGACCACCATGTGCTATCACATATGGCAAGTTTATCAAAGCACCAAGATGGATTTAGCATTGTTTCTTAGGATTGTTTTCTTCCTTTCTCCATTTCTAGGCTGCTTACCTGGTTGGCATCTCAGATCCGAACAGTCAGGCTGGTCAGCAGGGTCTTGTTGACCCAATTCAATTTGCCAGAGCCAATCAAGCAATCCAGATGGCTTGCCAGAATTTGGTAGATCCAGCAAGCAGCCCATCACAGGTGATTCCAGAGGATTGCAGTGAGACCGTCTTTGTTAGGACACACGACTGCGCTTTATTTGTGACCAAGCAAAGGAGTTTTGGTTTGAAACTGTTGCATGGCTTTGAACTGCAACTTTGCAGAGCTAAAGTATGGTAACTGTCATGTTCCTTTGACAATCTGCTTGTTTTGTGCGATGTATTTTTACAGGTATTATCAGCTGCCACAATTGTGGCCAAACATACTTCTGCTTTGTGCAATGCTTGTCGCATTGCTTCATCAAAGACAGCAAATCCTGTTGCCAAGAGACACTTTGTGCAGTCTGCCAAGGAAGTTGCAAACAGCACTGCTAACCTGGTTAAAACTATAAAGGTACAAATGCTGCTTAATTGTACTGCTTCCTTCTTTGTGTTTTTATTTCTTTTTTTTTCTATTGAAACACAATCAGAACAGTTAGAAATATCTTTTTACCTTCTGTGATATGTATGGTTTAAGAAATCATTAATTACATTTTTGAAGACCTGAATTGGAAAACATGTTCAGTGGTATAACTGTGCCATAGTCAAGTTGGAAAGAATTTGGCAATATTAGTATTGGGAGGGGCAGCTGACCCATCCGGTATGAGACATCTCTGTGTTGATATATGTACTGAGCTTTCACCATGAGAATAATTTGCAGACAACTGAATGTAAAGGTTTCTAATGGTGTTACGTTTCTCAATATCCTGAGTCTTGTGAAGGTATTTCTGACAGCTTTACCTTATCTGCTGCTTTATTTGTCTCTTATAAATAATACTGGGGATGAAACAGAAGATGTTTATGTTGCTTCTGTTTAATAGTCTCCTGTTAATAGTAATCTTTTATTTCCCAGATACCTGCCTGCAGTTTGGCAGGAGGCAGTTTTTCCTCATGCGAGCAGAAATATACTTGTTAAGCCATAGAGGACTCACGATTCTAAACCCTTCTGGAAGCCATTAGCTGATCTGCTACTGAGAGTCTTCTAAAATAATTATGCTCTTAGGACTGGAAGGTTCTATTACATTACACAGAAGGTCCTTCATATTGAAATCTTTCCTGTGAAATTATGAAAGACATCAGTTGACTCATGTGAAAATGAGAGCAATAAATTATAGATTTGCTTAAAAAAAAAAATTATTATTTTTTTTTTTTAAATCAGTCTGTAGGAAAGAACCACCTTGTTAACCACTTTCCACCCTTTGGAGCATGAGGTACTGGGACATGATTTATGAGAGTCATCAGAGTGCAACAGTAGAAAACCTTTATTCAGTCTTGTGAAGCAAAGCAACGGTTTTAAGTTTAGGGTCAATAATCAGCTAAGGAAAGAAACACACACTTAAAGGATCACATTGCTTGCATCAGCCTTCTTTATGGAGGAATTTTCAGATGTCATAAACACACAACAGTTTAAAACTATGAAGAATTAAACCATCTTCCTTCAATTTTGCAAAGAAACCCATTCAGACGGAACTCAATCATGATTTAATTTCCAGGCCCTGGATGGTGATTTCTCTGAAGAGAACCGCAACAAGTGCAGAATTGCCACTGCACCTTTGATAGAGGCTGTGGAAAATCTGACGGCATTTGCTTCAAATCCAGAATTTGTCAGTATACCAGCACAGATCAGCACTGAGGTAAGGCAGGATGTTGTACTTCCACTGTCAAAAAATTGAAAATGTTGAATGAATTCTGTCTCAGGAGAGAGGAAGTGTGAAGACCTGACCCCAAAATGTCTCTCTGTGTTCCTGGGTGTTCGTAGGGCACTTTGCTCTCTTTTGCTTAACCTCTGACCTTGAATTTTGCACCAGTAGGATAAAAACAGTTAGGCTACAGAAAGCGCTGCCCGTTAGTAAAATGATACAGTACAAGCAACTCACATATTCTGTTAGCTGGATTCTTCCATGTGATAAAGTAGTAAATATCCCTTTTTCCCTCAAGAGCAGCTTTAACAAATAGAACCTAATTAGTTCTGAAAAGGATTGAAGGGATGTTGCTGGGGTTTTTGCCTTCCAAAAATGATGTGGTCATGATGACAAGAAGCAGGTTTTCTGGGAAAAAAACTTTCTGTGGTCCTTCTGTAGTTTTTTCCTGAGTTCTCCATCCTCAATCCCTGTAACTACAACAGAATAATATTTAAAGTAACTAATGAAGGTTTGGGTTTGGGGTTTTTTTTGGGGGGCGGGGGTGGAGAATAAAATAAATCTTTCAAGCTTCATAAAAGCTTTGAAGTAGAGGTCATGTATTGTCACTGACTCTCCAACTGCTCCTTACTGGTTTTGGCAGCCTCTGTTCCAGCTGGTGGTATCAGATGATGTAGTAACTGTTGCAATGTTAAAGTTGTGGGGCTGTGACTGAAATCTGAGCCTGTTCTCCAGGCCTGTGGTACCTTGGTTTACCAAGTAAGCGGTGGTAAAATAGATACAGAGATGATGATCCAGTTAGAGTGTTGTAGTCCAACTAATTCCTGGGAAAAGAGCATGCTTGTTGGAGATTGCAAGTTTTGTGACAAAAAAGTTTATTTTCAGTGATATCTCCATAGTCTACGGTTAGACAAATGTCATTGTTTTCTCCTGTTTCTCAACTGGATGGTGCCTTTCTAAACTGGAAAATGTTTAAGTATGTTATAGGGAAAATGGTTGGACTGTGATTTTAGTACTATTTCCGTGTTGACTATCTGTGAATATAATAATATGATACAAGAAATTATAATGCCATTTTAATGCTGTTAATTAAACAGATTTTTGGGAACAGACAGTGGGGATGAATTCAAATAATTATTTAAAAGTTCTTTGTGTTCTTGTACCTTTCTGAATACAGGGATCACGAGCACAGGAACCAATTCTAGTTTCTGCTAAAACAATGTTGGAGAGCTCATCTTTATTGATCAAAACTGCTCGTTCTCTGGCTATCAATCCAAAAGACCCTCCTACGTGGTCTGTGCTAGCCGGGCACTCCCATACTGTCTCAGATTCTATCAAGAGTCTTATCACCTCTATTAGGTATGTCTTTTGTAGTAACAAAATTGCAGTAATAATTGAGCAGCCATTCATAAAGAATAATACCATATGGCCATTAGCACTATGGTATTTTTTTTAACTAATGAAAATTATTTCTGTGATGCACGATATCTCCCCAGTTACTCTGGATGTTTAATCATAATTGATGACTGCTGCACTCTGCAGCATAGGGTTGTTCTGTGTTTGTATTCTGTTCTCCTTCCATGGTTCCACCTCTGATTGAGTTTAAGGTAAATGTAATGAGAATGCTGTAGAATAAAAAAAAATGTAGTTAATATTACCTCTATCCAGATCATGTACCAACATCTAATACGTGGAAAACAGTGTATTTTTTTAAGATAGGCCAGAAAGTTTATAAATTACCTTTGCTATCTATTCTTTCCTATAGTTTTCTCTGTTTAGTTGAAGGAATGCTGTAGCAAGAAGTGAATTTTTTTTATTTTTTGGACTAAACCTGTCTGTCCCTTTCTTAATGAAAATTTTAAAGCATAGTTCTATACTTAACCTCTTAATATTGATTAAATCAAAATGGTATGAAAACAGTGATCTAAGGAGTGTTTACAGTTTTGTTGATCTTTGATAATGATTGTACTGAAATAGCAAACTGCATGTCAGGACGAAGTACTCAGAAACTAACCTTCATTAAAAGATACCTGGGACTGAACGTAACACCTAATACCTAAGGAATTGTTTTCTGAGACAGTGAATCGCACTGTACAGAAACATTGAATATTTTTTCCTGGTGTCTGTTGTGTTTTCATGTTAACCTTTATTATTGAGCCGGTCTGGCCATCATGAGGAGGTTGTATTTGCACTTTTCTTCTAACAAAACAAATTTTTTTCAGTCTAGTCATTGAGAGGAATGATGTTTATATGTATGAAAATGTGCAGAGTACTCTGTACATCCTGTAGGTAGAACAAAGATTAACTTTTCTCCTTGTTGCTCTCCTCCCACATGCTTAATGTACACTTATGTGCAGTCATGAAAGAGCCTGCCTCTTTCATGCTCAGCTTGCTACCTCTGTCTTTCAGGGACAAGGCCCCAGGCCAACGAGAATGTGATTTCTCCATTGATGGGATCAACAGATGCATCAGAGACATTGAGCAGGCCTCCCTTGCAGCCGTCAGTCAGAGTCTGGCCACCAGAGATGACATCTCAGTTGAGGTATGGGAGGTAGCACAAGAACAGAGTAATGCCTGAGCAGCCTCACTTACCCCGCTGCTTTCCTTTCTGTTTGAAGATTTGGAGCAGAGTATTCAGCAGAATCTACTACCAGTGAGGGGAGAAGTATTCTTACTGGGATCTTTTTAGGCAAAATCACATACTAACGAAAGCATGTCACTTCTGGAAAGATACCAGAATCACCAGGCAAAGTAGGGGTGAAAGTAGTTGTTTTTAACTACTACCCGCATATTACTCTGACTTCCTGTGCTGACGTGACCGACTGATTAGTTAGTGTTTCTCTGGTGTTTTGCCATGTGGAAGTCAGGATGTTTCTGAAACTAATTTATTACTAGAAGTCCGGTGATGTCAATGTCATTTTTCTTCATGCCTATTTTGTCATTAAATAAGTGAAATCTGGAGTTGATGCTGATATGTTCTCATTAAAAAAGCCTCCTTCTCCACCCATGCCGCCCCTACCCCAATGGCAATGTAGACCAATCCTGTCCTATTTCAGCCTTTATCTCATTGAGGAAGGGCCATCATGGTAGACTACCTATGAAAAGTCAGCAATTCAGGATCAGAATCTCACCTTGGTATTTAGTGTCTTTTTGTACTATTGCTTCCTGAAATTACATGTCTGTTTATGTATTCCAGGGATTTCTTTGTGCTGTAATGCTGAATGCTAGAAACATCTCAGACTAAATGGAGCTATACAAAGGAAGTTATTACAGGAAATATGTCATAGATATCATTCTTTTCTACTTAAATGATGAAGTCATCTTGGACACCATGTCAATCTGAAATAAATGTTACTGAAAATGGCGGTTATTTATAAACCAGTACAGGAATGTAACAAAATGCAAAAAATAATATTTGTTTTCTCTTGCCTTTCATGAGAGTGAGCTAAATCCCAGTGGCTGCCAAGACATTAAGTGCCTCTGAATTAAAAGCCAGTATTTATGTCTTGACAAGCCCAGTAATATGCTTTTCTTATGCTCTTGTCCCACAGAATGGTATTCAGGAGGTCAGTCCTCATCTCTGTCCCTCAGAGATGTTGTATTTTTCCTTTGTCTTTCCTTATTGGTGAATTTCTCCTGCTAGCTTCAAATTCTACAGCAGAGCTTTTTGCTTTTGTCCTGTATTGTCTGCTTTGAAGCTTGTTTCTTCATATCTAAATCGGAGCTCCTGCTGGTTTCTCTGATCAGTGCAGTGATACTAAATCTTTGGCAGGGCAGGATCAGTTTGGGAGGGGTGGGGAGAGTTTGTCACATTGCAACGAAAAGAACACCTACTCTTGAATTTGCTACTATCAGCTGGAGTAGGAGGGAGCGATTCCCCCCACCCCCCTCCCAGACTTGCCATATAAATCTGAAGAGGAGCAGGCCTATCTCAGGGTTCTTCTTGTTGAAACAGGGCGAAGGAGAAGAAATGAGCAAGTGTGTAAAGAAAGCCAACAGCGTGGATTTCTGTATCCTACTGTAGTGGGTTATTTAAACAGCATTCTGAGTATGTTGGTTGGTCTGAGGGTGATTGTTATGATATGGTACAACCTCATAAAAGAACAGCTGTGATAGTAACTGACAATTTCTCTTTATATTAGGCTCTACAGGAGCAGCTGACATCAGTCGTCCAGGAAATTGGCCACCTCATTGATCCCATAGCTACTGCAGCTCGTGGAGAGGCAGCTCAACTTGGGCACAAGGTACTGTCCTACCATTATGGAGGCATTTGAAATCTTGAACAGCTGGACATGAAGGAAGACCATGATTTAGTAGCTTTTTCACTTCCTACAAAAGAGGAGAAGAAAGCATGTGGAAGGAGGAAAGATCTGGGATTTCCAAATACTTGGAGCTGATACCAAATAAACCTGTTTATGTTTTGGGCCATAGGAAAGATCTTTTCATTGAGGTTTTTGGTGAGGGGCAGGTTTACAAAGAAAGGGGAAGGCAAAGCAAAGATGGAAGGGTGGAGTGCAACATTATAGGTTTCCCTACCTCTTGCTATTGCAGCCAGCAGCTGTACATGCATATAGGTTCTTCTGTCTCTTGTGCTGTGTTAAACATGACCACAGGACCTGCGACCCATCACACTCCAGGCTCGTTCAGCACGTCACAGAGTTATAGTTTGAATATGTATATATAGCAGAATGTGGCCAATTGAAGAAGTCTCACAAAGGTTTGTCAGATCCTATCCTGATGTGATGTCCTTGCATAAAGCATGCTGCTCCATTTCTTGGCCAGCTCATGACGAAGCAAGAAGGGAAGTGTGGGATGTGCACAGAGGTTACCTCTGGCCTATGGAGGCCCATCTCCTGAAGCTGCTTCTGTAGTCTGAGAAGAGGGAGGTTTAGACTGTGTTTTCAAAGGAGGAGGGTGATGTGCCTGTTTTCTACGTTCTGAGCAAGGCTCTTTGTCTCCATTGATTATAGAGGCAGTGTTAGCTTCATTAGGAAAAAATTAGTGATTTTGAACTACCTTGAGTTTCAGCCCCTGCTGCAAATTTTTAGGGGTTAGCAGGGAAGAAAGGCTTATAACAATCTTGCTTTCTATTTTAAGCATTGTGTAAACATGTCCCTCTTACATGGAGTGTAAGTATGGTAGAACTTGTGCTTATGAGGTCTCTGTCCAAAAATGAAGCGTTACAATGTATGTACCAGAAGTGTACATTATTTACTGTGGTTATTACAAGATTTTAGTAGTTTCTCAGATAATAATTCCTCAACCTACAGTATGTTCTTGAGAAAGATAAATACAAGTTTTCTGTGTCAGTGCATTTAATACTGGAATCACTTTGTTAGTGTGAGAGCTCTTCCAAAGTTGTACCCAAATAACTCCATTTAGCTTTGAATAACCATCAAATATTTCATAACACCTCAACTATTTGCAGTTTTGATTCTCAGTTTACCTAGCCCTCTGAGGTGCACAACAAATCAAGATTGCGAAGATACAGGTAGTTAGGGAGTCACATTCCTCTTCCTGCTTATTAGGTAAATGTTCACCAAAGTCAACAGCACTTTTCTTGAGCCTGTTTTTCCTGTTGAATGCAGAAG